GTTAGTTATTTTGTGAAAAAAATTTAATCATTTATACTTTAAATCGCAAGTGAATAAATGTTATGTCCTGAATGTAATCAAGAATATAATTGTTACTGGTGTAAACTGTGCAACCCAGCACGCTTTAAAAATGATATGTAAATTGACATGTGGAAATAATACAATAAATAAATTTATTCAATATGCTCAACTTAATGCTGATATCCATTGGAAAGTAATAGAATGGATACATTATGATAGATTTGAAGGTATTAAAGAAATAGCAAAAGGTGGTTTTGGTACTATTTATTATGCTAAGTGGACTGATAGACTAATTGTGAAATTGGATATTAAAATCAATGGTGGGAAAGAGAAGGTTGACGAGAAGTTGTATTAAGAAAGTTTGATGGAATTTGGAGATATGAATAAATACTTCTTAAATGAGATAAAATTATTGCCTAATTTAATATGAAATTTTATTTAGAAATATATAATAATTAAAAAGTATCTTATTTCGATATCAATTCATTTGAGACAATAGAAATATATACAACTCCATTATTTCATAGAATTACGAAAGATCCAGAAACTCATAATTATATGATAGTTTTGAATTTTCAAGAAGTTGGAAAGTTAGAAATTATTTAAACATAATTTTTAATAATATTAGTTAGTATGATAAATTACGGTATTTAAGAGAATTAATCATTCATTAATTAAATATAATAAATCATGATTTCACACTGGAAATATATTTTATCATGTGTTTCAAAACATCTGTTTTATATATTTCAGATTTTGTGTTAAATTAGTTAATTGGGAAAAATATTAAAAATCATCAAAAGAAAAATGTTTTTGGAGGTATTACCCTATATATTTTCTGAAGTTTTAGGTATGCGATATTGGGATGCTCAAATTACCCATCAACTTACTTTTGAAGAATTTCATAAAAAATTAGACAAATATTGTAATGATTATTTTGATTATAATAGTGAAATTAGAACTAAAATTTAAAAATCTGAAGAATTTTCTAAAAATCAAGAAACAGTTGATACAACTCCACTTGATTATAAAACATAATACAGGCAATTTATACTGGTAGACTTCTCAATTTTTCTAAATCTTCCGAAACCTGCAAATTAACCAAATTTTTTTAAAAAATAAAAGAACTAACAGAATCATTTTCTCAAGTATCATTTATATATTTATTTTATTTATTTCATGATTAATTTTATTAATTTAATTTATTTTCATTCTTATTTAGATGATGATATTTAAGATTTTAAATATATAAATTATTATTATAAAGTGATTTTATCTAAATTCGATTAATTTAACTTGGAGTCAAGAGATAATTTATATATTAAGAGGTTTAAGTTTAGAGTATAAATTATATTTTATTATTTATTCTATCTAATAAAAAATTATATTTTTTTATATAAATTATTTCAAAAGATAGTAAATGAGCTTAATTATGAAAGTTAATATAATATGGCTATTTATTCTCAAGAAAAAATCTCAAGAAAAAAGAAAAACTCTAATAATTTATTTTTTTGCTATGCCAATAAAATCTCAGGTGACAAAATAATTGATCTATTTTCTTTTATTTTGGTAGGTAATAAATATATAAAGACCTGATCCTGGCTGGTTGTAAGAGTTGGGGTAACTCTTATTTAGTCAGTAGTGAAAGTAGTGAGAATTCTGAACTAACAGGTAAGATTAAGTATAAGTAAATTCAATAATTATATTAAATAATTCACTAGTCAGAAGACTAACATGCTTTATTAAAAGCTTATGCCTTTATTAAATCTATTTTTACAATATAAAAATACAATATTAGATAAAAATAAATAAATTAAATAATCTTAGGTCATACGATCAATCCAGATTGGTTCGGATATAATTATATATAAATATAAACATAATAAAATAAATTAATAAATAAAATGCTAAATTTGGCAAATTTGTCTATTCCAAAATAATATTTAATAAATAGTTAATAAAAATAAATAAAATGATAGGTACCTTCTGAGTTCTTAATAATAAAATTGCAGATATCAATAAGTCATTATTCTAAACAATAATTACCTATTGCAGATGCTGTATAGAATGGAGGCACAAAGTGAAAAAGAAGGGGGGCCAAATCATTACACTCTTCTCAACTAAAAGAAATTAACATCCACATTGATTAAATCTGTCCAAAGCTTCTTGAGCATTAGTTAGATTCCCTAAGGGCTCACAAGTGACATTGTATAGAGGGTATTCAGTCCATTTGATTAGATAATACCTTTTATTTCATACAGTCTTTTTGTTGAGTATCTTCTCAACTTCATATGCAGGTTTATTCAATTCATCAGTTACTTCAGATGGTAATGGTAAAGGTTGAGTAAATTAGTATTATTTTCCTTATATCTCCTTAATACAGAAACATGAAAAATATAATAAATTTTTAAGTTAGAAGATAAAGTTAATTTATATGTTACAGGGGAGATAATAGTTTCAACTGATTAAGGGCTAAGATATTTTGGTTTAGTTTATTTGAAGGTCAGTTGGTTTAGCTGGAAACTTTAATATTAGTGGTAGAGATTAATACATGATCCCCAACTTGAAAGATTTCTTCATGTCAATGTTGATCAGTATACTTCCTTTGTCATTCCTGGCTTTTACTAGATTTTTCTTTACAGCTTTAATAGTTTGATCCCAATTATTTAGGAAGTCACCAGCAATGACAACATTAGTAGATGAGTTAGCAGCCAAGGAAATAGGAGTGTTTGGATGTTGTTATAAGTCAATTTCAAATGGGATTTGGCCAGTAAATAAGTTTTTGAATTATTGTTGACAAATTTGATTGCAGATAAAAATTATTCCAGTTATTTTGTTGATAATTGATGTAGGCATATAATATTTCTTCATAGTTCTATTCATTCTCTCTGTCTAATCATAAGTCTGAGAATGGAAGGTGGTCAGCATAGCTATTTTGGTTTCCAATTGGTCAAATAAAGCATGCTAAAAATAACTAGTGAATTTAGAGTTGTGATCAGAAATAATAATTTTGAAAAGACCATAATTTTTGACTATAGTGTTAAAGAATATTTGAGTAGTATCAGGGGCAGTTGTATTGCATTGTTATAAGTAGGTACAAAATAAGCTTTCTTTGATAGTTTTTTTACAAAAACTACTATTGCATTAAAATCCTTTTTGGCTTTTGATAATTGAACTATAAAGTCCATTGTTACATGGTCCTATCTTCATTTAAATATTGATAATGGTTGGAGTAAACCAGCAGGAGATTGATTTGAAGTTTTATTTAACATTTGTCACATCTAGTGATATAATTTTTAAAATTCTTGCCCATACAATTAATTCAAGAGTTTTGCTACTCCAAGATAACCAGAAAATATATTATCATGGGTTTCTTGTAATAACAACACATATAATTTCTTATTATTAAAAATAGCAAGGCAAGCTGAGTTTTTAAAATAAATTTTGTTATCAACAAAAGTCATAGTTTCTAATATGGAAATTTCTTGTAAGTTATTAGAGATAAAAGCATTATAAATAGGAGAAAAATAATTATGATCTTGATATAATTCAATTAATTGTTCATCTAAAATAAGTAAAGTAGAAGTAAGTTCCAAATTTGCTATATGATTTCTTCTGGATAAAGAATCAGTTACAACATTTGAGCAGCCAGGTTGATTTAATATCAAATTCATGGGATTTGAAAGATCTAACCATCTTACTTGTTGTCATGAAAGGTTGAGTTGTTATTGGAAATAAGCAAGAGAAGCATGATCAGTCATTACAGTAAATTTCTTTCTTTCAATATAGGTCACCAGACTTTTATTGTTTGTACTATTGCAAGTAATTCCTTTTCTTGGATTGGATATTTCTGTTTAGCTGGAGATAGTTTACAAGATTCATAAACTACTGGTTGGACATATTTTTCTGGTTTTTGTGACAGAACTGTACCAATTGCAAAATCAGAAGTATCCAAGATTATGGTGAAAATAAATTAGGATTGGGTATTATTAGAACAGGTGCAAAAGTAAGTTGTTTCTTTAATTCCTGGAAGGCTTGTTGTTTTGTATCCTAAAAGTAAGATTGATTTTTATGCAAAAGGTTTGTAAGTTGGATAGCAATGGCAAAAATATTTTTAACAAATCGTCAGTAGTAACTAGCTAATCCAAGGAAAGAGTGAAGTTTGGTTAGATTAGTAGGTATTGGCTATTCACTAATAGCCTTAGTTTTATTAAAGTTAACTAAAAGTCCATATGCAGAAATAAGATGACCAAGATATTCAACTTGAGTTTTAAATAGTTTGTATTTTTCATATTTAGCATATAATTTATGCTGTTGCAAAGTCTTCAGGACAAAGTAAAGATGTTTAAGGTGTTTCTCCTGCATTTTAGAGTATATTAGAATGTCATCCAAGTAGATTACAACAAAAGAATCAAGTACTTGGTGGAATATATCATTCATGAGAGTTATAAAGATAGCGGATGCGTTTGTCAGACCAAAGGACATGACCAAAAATTCATAGTGGCCATAGCACATTCGAAAAACAGTTTTCAGTACATTGGCTTCCTTCACATGAATTTGATGATATCCTGAATAGAGGTCAATTTTTGAAAAATACTTGACTTTATTTAATTGATCCATCAACTTCTCAATTCTTGGTAGAGGATATCTATTTTTGATAGTAATTTTATCCAAGATTCAATAATTAATATATAAGCACAAAGTTCTTTTTTTCTTATGGACAAATAGAACTAGTACACCATATGGAGAGAACTAGGATGAATAAATTCTTTTACTGTTAAATCCGCTAATTGTCATTTCGATTCATTAAGTTCCTCATAAGACATTTGATACAAGGAGTAAAAGGGAGGTTCACTACCAGGTACCAAATCAATTGCATGTTCAATTTGTCATAGGAGAGATAATTGATTAAGTAAAATCTCAAGTAAAATATTCACAAATTTCTTTAATAGTTGTTCACTTCCCTTTACTTGTGGTATCTATCTTTTCTTAATTTCATCAAGTACTGAAAAGATGATAAAAAGTTTTTCATTTTTAGGAGTAGCAGCTAACTGTTGGTGAGAAATATAAATGGGATTAATAGAATTGTTATTATTATTATCAGTAAAATTAGCATTTACTTTAATAACACATTTTCTATAGTTAAAAGTGAAGGTACGAACTCTCCAATATATTACAAGGTTAGCATTAGCAAGTCAAAATTGATCCAAAATAAGATTATCTCATTTAAGTGGAATAACATAAACTTTTACATCATGTGCTTGGTATTTTTGTATTGCTGAAGTATCATTACTAATGGTTTGATTGCTGGTTTCCTTTTGTCTGCAAGTTCAACAGTCATATTTTCTCCTGATTGCATTTTCAGTTTGTTTTGTATTGCAAAATTGTTATTAATAAAGTTTTGAGTAGCTCCACTATTAATTAATATTTGTGCTATGCACCCATCAATTGTTTCCTTGATTCATAATAATTTTTTCCTATTATTAATATTATTTAATTCTAAGTTATTATTGCTTTTATGATGTTCTAGTTTTTTCTTCTATTTTATAGAAATGATTATAATTATTATTTTTGCCTTTTCCTGTATTCCCATATTGATAACACTTATTATCCTTATTATTCTTGTTATTACTATTATTATTATGACTACTATTGCTATTACTACTATTATTGTTATTCCTGTATTTATTCTTTGATAATTAGTTTTAAGTCCATTGGTTCCATTTCTCTAGCATTATTATATTTATTTCTACTATCATTACTTCTACTGTTAGAATTGAATTGATTTTGAGAAGAACAATTAAAATTTCTTCCTTTATCCATTTCGATAGTGCCAAGTCATATTGTGTTGCAATTGTAACAGCTTTATTTAATGTTGCAGGTGCCTGATATTTTACTTCTATCTTAGTTGCAGGTTTAAGTTCATCTATATAATAGCTAACTTGATCTAAAACATACATCCTTTCAACCTGTCCTACCAAGTTTTGAAATTGCATAGTATAATCTTGCACTGATCTAATTTATCTCAACCTTTTCAATTGATCTTGAAGTTGTTGTTGAAGATTAGGCAGTTGGAAAGAAGTTCATAAGTCAATTTTAAATGTATTCCAATCATTCCATTAAGTAATATCATTTGTTGTCATTTTATTTATCCACCAAGCCAAAGAGGCATCCCTTATAATAGTGGCAGTATATTTGATTTTTATTCCAGCATTATCAATTGTTCAAGTGACAAAGATTCCAAATTTATAAGCCAAGCATTTATATTTTCATTTGGTCAACTATAAAATGAAGGAATGGTCACAGAAAAAGAATTATTACCTCTAGCATTATTATCAAATTGAGTAGTTAGATTATTAAGGACAGTTAACAAATTAGTAAATTGTATAATGTCCATTGTTACAATTGTACTTATTTGACATAGCATTGACATAATTTGACATATTGCTATTTTTATAGGTATTACTAAGTAAAATAATTTGTAAACGTAATTCAATATAATTTTTTTTTCAATTGATATAATTGACTTAATTATTTCACTGTGAAGTATAGTTGCAATGTTTCTAGAATTTATTAGATTGGTTTTGGATTTTCAGGATCACAATAAAATTGATTAAATCTAAATTATTGTTATTAACTAGGATATGCAAATTATTATTAAAGGTTGAGTTTTATTAAGTGGTGATAAAACTCTGCTGGATTTTTCTATAGTTTCTTCTTAGTGTTAGATTGCTCGTGATGATATTTGAGAGGTGGTTGATATAGGAAAATGACAAGTTGGTCTTGAATTTCTTTCAGGTTGCTACTGCAATGAATGGCAATTGTGGAATTGACATTGGTGTTGGACTTCTTATTTAGTTCTTAATAAGTTTTCTTGCTCCTGATGTTGGGCTTCGATATATTTTTGTAGCTCTCTGGCATTTAGATCTTCAAATTGAGATTCTTCTAATAGCTATGGTTGAGGAAAGACTTCTTGAGACAGTGATGGGAATTTACAGGTGTTGTCAATGATGCAACTTCTAAGTCTCTTGCTGCTTGTAAGTGTCAGATGAAAGTTCTCCAAACTGGTCTTGTTTCCAAGCTAGTTGTCTTTGAATAAATTGTTTAACTTCTTTTTGAAGTTGTTCATTGGTGATTTCAGGTGATGGCAAAATTTGGAAGATGAAAAATCCTCCTCATGCTCTTCAAGTTTGTCATTATTTCTTAATATATTATGATGAAACTAATTATTCATGAACAGTATTAACAAAATGATAAACTATTTTGTTGAAAATTGAAATGAGTAAAGGTAGGGAATGTTAAAAGACAAGATTAATGTTTTAATAATATTATTAATATAAACTTATTTCATGTGATCTAGTGCAAAATAACAAAAGGGTTGAATTAGGTTCAATAAACTAGGTGAAAGAAATATTTGTTGTTACCAAGTGTAAGAGTCAGGGTGACTTTTATTTAGTCAGTGGTGAAGGTAGTGAGAATTCTGAACTAACAGGTAAGGTTAAGTATAAGTAAAGTCAAAATAACACTTGGTAAAATACTAACACTTTGTAAAAAGTCAACAATTTATAATTATATTAAATAGTTCACCAGTCAGAAGATTAACATACTTTATTAAAAGCTTATACCTTTATATATCTATTTTTACAATATAAAAATTCAATATAGAATAAAACTAAATAAATTAAATAATCTTAGGCCATATATCCCATCCAAATTGGTTCAGGTATAATTACATATAAATATAAATATAAATATAATAAAATAATTAAATAAATAAAATACTAAATTTGGCAAATTTGTCTATTCCAAAATAATATTTAATAAATAGTTAATAAAAATAAATAAAATAATAGGTACCTTCTGAGTTAACTAATAATACAATTGTAAACTTCAATAAAGTCATTATTTTAAGCATTAATCATGCTATTGCAGTTGCAGTATAGAGTGAAGGCACAAAGCAAAGTGAGAAAGAAGGGGCCCAAAACATTACACTGGTCTTGAATTTCCAAGGATATACCAGTTAGCCTAGGTCCTAAAGACCAGGACCTCAGGTACAGACCAGAGGACCACCTCATCCCTATAGGTAAGTAGATTGATGCATTTTTAGAAAGCATAAATTGTGGAAAACTGATCATAATATATGTTAAGTGAAGAAAAGATCATTTTACTCTTCAATTATGGATACACATTCAAGTATTTGCAAATGCTTTTAGGCAATCTTTTTATAAATGAGAAAGTGTTAAATTTGATTTAAAAAAAATGATGCTAAAGGTAATCGTGTGAAAAATAATTTGATTCTTATAATATAATATTAATGGATAATTAATGGAAAAGTAATATTGAAAAAATGTTTATGATGATATTAAGATTAACCTGAATATTAAAATTTATCATATATTTTTCTAATGGGGACACAGGTCAAAGACAAAAGAATTGCCATACCAAAAATGAATTCTTATTTTAGCTAATTTATAATATAGGATACAATAGTCTGGTCAATTTTTACCAATTCTTAGCTGATCTATAATATTGGAATTACTATTTGGTACAGTGATTCTTTTGTGCTTGATTAGTGAGATATTACCAAGAGTAATCTGAGAATGAAGTTGAATTCATATATATGTATTAATTGGCCTATATTCTTTACAACAGTAACAAAGTTAAAAAAATAATATAACTTTTTGAATGATCTTCTCATCTTTGATCATTTTATTGAGAACTAAAAATCATTTCTTCCAAAGTAGTTCTATGACTAATTAAAACTTTATGTCTTTATTTATCTTTGTATTTGATTGGAATTATGATAATATTATTTGTTTCTTTTGATCTGTTTAATTTATAAGCCAATTTTAAATAGTGATACCATTTTTTCTGTCTATTTTAGATGATTTTGGGAAAGTTAAGAATTTTCATAATAAACACTTCAGATAATTTGAAGCTATAGCTAGAAACTCAATGAAGATAATGAAAAATTTTTAATTGTTGTCCTACCAATGGAAGAGAGATATCTTTTCATTCAGTATTTTCATTGCCAATGAAAATATTGAATTATCACTCTAAAAAGAATATTGTCAGCCAATCATGAATAATGATTTTGTTGATGATTGAGTAATAAACTCTTGATATCCCTTTATCTTATTATATAAATAATTATTAAATAATATCTCTCTGAAATCATAGTTACTCTTGTTTTTTTAGTAAAAGAGATAAAGATTCAAGGATTTATTTTTATCCTTGATATGATACAAATTCTAAAAAAATTCTTCAACTTTTTATAAATTATTATTAATATTATTCAAATTTATTTTTTTTTAAGTGCTTTTCTATGTAATCTGAACAATTTATATTTGAGACTGCATAAGCATGTTAAATATGAAGCAATGTTTGTTTCAATATTGTATATTTTATGATTTCTTTTCAACTTACACAGAGCATTCCCTTCAACTCAACCTTTAAATATTTATACTGATGTTTATCATTTGGGAATTTGAATTGAATGCTTCTATATATTTAATATAAAATGATTATGCCATAGTCATATAATAAATTTAAGTAACTTAACTGATAAATTTAATTCTGCACTTGTGTTCTATCAAAATTTTATTCCTTATCAATCATGGAGATTTCAAAATTTATCCAAACATTACTTTCTATTATGAAATTATCTATTTCTTTATAATTTTTGTTGAATTTTAATTTGTTTCTGTTTTGTGAACTTGAAATTAAAATATATTCTACTTTAATTCATAGTGATGTATATTTATATATTACATTTACCTCTAATTCACACTTTCCAATGAAGTATCTAATTTACTGAAGATATTAGATAAAATGGTGTAGAATATATCTAGAATAAATCTAGAATATTTTAATGAAAAACAATCAATTAATCTACTATAATTATTTCTCTCAAATAGGAGAACATAAGATGTCACTCAAATTATGGTAATCTTCCTTGTCTAAATAATTTAAATAAATGTTTCAATAATTTCATTGTTATAATTTATAATTATCATCTTTCATTCTTTCTGCTTTTATTCTTGAAAATATTGTACAATTTGTATTGTAATAGCAATAATAGTAATCAACTATTTTAATTATTATTTTAATTAATTTTTATTTTAAAATTTAATTTTTTAATTGAGTTAATATATTAAAACTATACATGAGTTTACATTGACTAAAAAATATCTTCACCTTGGTGTTTATTACATAAATATATATAGATTAGACTATCCCAGGATTTTGTTTGAGTATTCTACACAATAAATGCTTGTATACTTGATTGCAGACTCATTGAAAAAATATGCTGGCACATGTATAATCATGAGTTAATATGGACATTTTCCTTCTGTTAAACTTGAGTAAGATTATCATTAAACCTACATTTGAGAAATAAATAATTTTTCAAAATTATTATTCTTAAATATATGCTTCCTGGTTGTTTATCAATTTTTTATTTATGAAATTAAGTAGACTTTGGTTTGACTTTTTAAATTTAGTTTTTCCTAAATCTCTCCAATATTATGAGTAATTTTTTCATAAAAATGAGTTCTTCATGTTGTGTTTTGATTGTTATTTTTTTAATTTAACTATGTTCATATTGTGATTATTATCCATCTATGTTTTTCAGCTTCATTTAGGATTAGAATCCTTCATTCATTTCATTGATGGATGAAAGTTTCTTGATGATTATGTGCATGCTTTTTTAAATTTCCATTTTTTGATATGGATATTTACTGATTTCCAAATTTAAAAAATATATTACAAATTTGTGCCAATACTATATGTAATATAAAACTGTGCCATTTCCTCAATGAATATGGTGGTGAGATAATTGAAATGTACCTATTTATTATTATTTTTTTTACTTTAAAACATATCTTTTTTCTAATTCATTTATCTTTAATTTTTGCTGATGATGGGTCTTGTGATTTTAATTTGTTATCATCCTTAGAATTTGTTTCTTTGTCAGAAGTTTAATCTATGCAACTTAAAGAAAGTAAGAAACTAAAGGATGTTTCTTGTTCATAAATTTAATTATATGCTAACCTTATTCAGAGAATTAGATGATATGAAATCTTGGATATTTTGAATTGCATTACCTTATTTCTTGTTAACTATATAATCTATTTTCAAGAAATACAATTATAACTGATAATAATATAGTTCTATATATTTTTTTTTGCAACTCTGAACAAACCAATTATAACTTATCCAAGCATTTGAATTAATCAAATTTAATTATTGATTTATCAAGTGTGAATTTTTTTCAGTGAACATAATCTTGTTTAAAGTCACACATGGCTAATGATTGATTTCAATATAATACTTTTAGACAACCAATTATATTTATTTTCACTATATTTTTGAAAATTTATATCTGATATTTTGAATAGATAAGTTAAATAATAGTTATAATTATGTGATGTGCAATTCTAAGGAATGCTCAGTGATAATATTTTAATGATAATGTTAATATTCTCATCTCAATCATCTCAATTGTCAATGTCATTCAAGTGTTTTTAGATCTATCTAACATTACAAAATAAAATAATTTTAGATAAAAATCCAATAAGTTTTATAAATAATTTTTAAAATATTCATCATTGCTTTAAGAGATGAGTTCTCTATCTAAGTTTGGAAAATATTATTTTATTTGTCTGGAAAATTAAAAATAAAAACTTTTACAAAATAGGTGTTGTCTTTTCTAAATTAATGGAGATATTTTTGTGCATCTAAATCAATTAATAATAACATTTTTTGATGCCATTCAAAATGTTAAACATACTATTTAATATTAGATTGACAGTTAAGACTTTCTTTATTGTAATTTAGACATAAAAATGATTGAAAGTTCCAATTAATGCTGTAAATAAGCTAAAGGGAATAGGGATTTTAATTTTATTTAATGACTTTGTAAGAATTTGATTTTTTGAATCAATTTTTTTAAATATAATTTTTTTATCATAGTTTTTTTTTGTTACTTGAATTCTTTTACTATATTTAGGATGATAGCATAATTAATTTTAAATAGATCAAACTAGATGATGGCAATAAAAATAACTTTGAAAGAGGAGAAATTTCAATCCATTCATTCTTAATGAGCATTGAATGATAAATTATACTTCCTTCTTTTTTTGCATTTTAGCAAATCAATTTAAATAAAAAGAAAGTATCTTTTCATTTTGCAGAATTTCTTTTGGGTACAACATATGAAATTAAAATTATTTAATTAATGTTTAATGCATTAATGTTTTTAGGATATTTTTGATTATACTCACTAAACTTAAACTTAGTAGGCTAAGGCATTTCCTTTAATATAACTATTTTATTATAGGATGATATTAATATTCTCTAATTTTGAAGTAATCCTCCCAATCCAATTTTATTATCATCATGACTTTTCATTTTCTATTAAATGGTAAACTGTTAGAACAAAAACAATAATAAAAAAAACTTCAAAAAAAATATAAATAAGACTGACTCAAAATAGTTTTCATTTGTGTTTTCCACACGATAATAACCCACATAAGATCATATTTGTGTTGTGAATATAACTCTTGAATCTATCTATATGTATAGGGTTATCATTCCCATATTTATGATTTTATGTTGACTTTTCTTTTCTGATCTCTCCTAATCTTATTATTGATTTTTATAAAAATAAGTCCTTTAGTTTGTTATGTTACTTTATTTTTTGAATGTAAAATTGTGTCTAGTACATCTTATTATTTTTAAAAAATCTCTCTGTTTTGGCTTCATTTAGGATTAATAAATTCATTAATATTAGAATCTGTATTCTATTTCATTGATAATTGAAAGAATTTCTTAATTTTTTTATTTATTGTTTTTATTATGATTAAATGCATTCTCTGTTTAATTTTAACTTTAGAAGTATTAATAATGTCAGACTAAATTTCATTTAAAAACCACTAACCCATTATCATATTCACTAAGGAATGACAGTTTTATTATTATTATATATGTATTGATAACTTTGCCAGAGCCTAGTCTCCATTGCACCACTTTTATTGTTTTTTTTTTTGCCTTAGAAAAAATATTTCTTCCAATTTGTTTAATTTTAATTTTGTTAATAACACTATTATTATTGAAAAAATATGACCAATACAAATTTTTATAACTCAAATAGGCAAATTCTAACTTTTCCAAAACATTGAATTAATAAAATTCATTTTTTATATACTTTTTATGAATTGTTTTAATTGTGCATAATAAATCATACATGTCTAGTGATTATGTCAAATTTTCATCATAGATTTGAAAATTTATATCTAACATTTTGAATTGATAAGATTTTCTAATGTTTTGTATGGATGAGAATTATGATTTTTTGAATAGACCAGATGTAGGAACTTTATTTAAAACGGTATGCATAATAAAATTTAGATAATAATAAAATATTATTAGATTATTAACTAAATATGGTTATGTAATTAAATTTGCCAAATAAAAATAATGAAAATTTTTGTAATTTATATTATTGATGATGTTGCTATTCATATTCATTATGTTATTTCTATAAAAAATTTTGTGATTAACTTTTAATTGCCTATGTCTATCAGAATAGAACAATTGAATCATGCAAGAGAAAATTTAAGCAAAAAAATAAATACTCAGTGATAACCTTTTGTTAATAATTTATAATTTTGCCATTTTTTATGTCATTATCATTGCAAGTGTGTTTAGAAATTCTGATCTTAGGCTATGCATACATTAAAAAAATTACAAAATAAATAAATTTCATATAATAATCCAATTAAGTTTCAGAAATAATTTTTATGATATAAATCATTGCTATCATTTAAAGATGAGATAAATTCTCTATCTAATTTTTCTGAAATTATATGTATTTCTTATAGATAATAAGCATATATATTTCTTATATAATTTTTCTTGAAGAATAAAAATTTTTAGAAAATCTGTATTTGTCTTTCTAAATTTATGGGAGAGATTTTTTATATGTATAGAATAAATGAACTTCATTCAATTGTTAAAATTCACTATAATATGAAGATACTGATGATATGAAATAAAGTAGAGAGTTCAAAGTATTGTGCTACTATTTTTTAATTTATTTTATCAAAGTTATCAGCTATAATTTTGAATTTGCATATATATTCATTTACTCAGACTGTTCAATTGAATTTAATACAAAAGACCAATCTATATATTTATACCAGCAGAATTTTTTGAGATGTAGACAATAATCCTGTTATTTTGTTCTTCATAAATATATTATCAACTTTTTTTTTATAATTTTTTTTTTATTTTTCATTTTTATTCCAAAGGTTTTTTTCCTTCATATTTCATTGTGATAATTTCTAGAATTACTTTCATTCTCTTCATCATCAAAGCCACATTTACATTCATGTTGATAATTCAACAATAAAAGGGTTTTTATCAATGCCATTTATATTTATTTTAAAATCGTGTATTTGAAGTCAACTTATTTAGAGTATAATTGCTTTGTCAGGCATGTATTTATATATATATAATTTATTAAATTTTATGTTTTCTTATGATTTATTTTTCAATATAGAATGTAGTTAAGAAACAATTATAATGGTAATTAAAGAATTATCTAGAGCAATAAGATGCATGCTCCTTGCCATTTTGAATAATTATTGCATATTATTTAATTAAATCTCCATGTAATGATATATCATTTGCATTTATTTATTTTAATGGATTTTGATTTTCTGAATGATTAAATTATTATTGTGGAATTCTTTATAATATTAAAATTTCAAGAATAGCTTTTATTATTAAGTAGGTTATGTTATATTTTTTTTTTGCTATATCACAATTAAAATTGAAACATACCCTGCTGAGTGAGATTCTATATTCAACCAGTACATTTCATCTCACAACTGGTTAAATGTACCCACAGCTGTCAAAAATGAGCAAATTTATTAAGCTATTTATTTGTTATATAAATGAAGATTTTGCTTGATATTTATTACTCATATTATTCATACTAAAATAGATATATAATTGAGCAAATGTTGATGAGTGACTTTCTTCTGATGAACTTGACAAAAAAAAAAATGGCTCCTGACACTTGTATTCTTTGCTCAATAAAATCTATAATGATAAATTGTATCTAAAGTTTAACTATCATTTAGTCAATGAAGAATTTAATTTTGAGATACTAGAAAATAATTTTTTAAATTAAATTCTTTTAAGTATATTCTTTTTCTCATCATAGTTTTATTTTGTTGCTTTAATTATTTTACAATTTTCAAAGAAAATTGCCAGCAACAACCTAAACTATCCATTTTTTTCTTTATGAAGATTAAATAATTTACATTTTGCCCATTGTTAAATTCAATAGATCCAAAACAAACTGCAACAATAAAAAAAATTCTAAATTAAAGAAATAATTTAATCTAAGAATTAGAAATAATTATATAAACTTTTTGCTTTTAACATGGTTTCTTCACTGACTATCATTAGTTATGATGAGGATTTATTACTTTTCATATGGCTATCCTATCATAGGATGACATCAATATTTCAATTTTATCACAATGAATTAATTGAATGACCTTCTAGGTTATTTATGAAATTTTATCATGATAATGTTAATTTTTTCATTGCTTTGTAAGGATTCTAGATTTTCTTTTATGGTTCATATTTGCAAGTTATCTCTATACAATTTTCAATTTTGTGCTTCAAAATTTTTAAAGGGATCCAGTGATCTTTCAATGGACTTTTATAATATCAATTCTAATAACAAAATTATTGGAAACTTAGTTTTGATATAAAATTTTTTCTGTAAATATTTAATCAAGTTCACTCTTTAATAAAAATTAATTTTAATGTCTGTAAGCAAATCTGTTAAAATTTATTATTACTAATATCTTTAATTCTACTTTTATTTTGGCAAGAATCTGTGGTGAGCCTATATTTATGGGTATTTTGTTTAAACATTTTGATCTTTTCCTTAAATATATTCAAGTCAAATTATATTTAATAGAATTTTCTAGACATATTATTAACTTTGTCAATTTAATAGCATGAAATTTATTTTTTATTTAAACTAATTTAATAATTAATTTATTTCTTTTATTTATTTAATTAATTATTATTTATTTATTTCATTTTTTATGTTTTTTAATAATGAAATAAGAAAATTGAGGGAAAAATTTAGCTAGACTATTTTTTAAATGCAATTTGAAGGTCCAATAAGTGCTAATTATGATCAGAGTTCCACAAAAATATTTGGATTGAAATGGTCAATTTTCTTAATTTTATAGTTATTATTATGTAGTTTTTATATCATTATCTATCATATTTATATTGATATATTATTAGTCATTTGTAAATCATTTTTATACAAATTATAGTTTATTACTAAAAATAGTTTATAGTTTATAAATAGAACAGTGTAACCTAATGTAAATCCATCCCATTGACATTAACACAGACAATAGACTGACTATAGTACTGACAATAATTATGTCATGAACACTTACAATATGCTAACAAGGTTACAGACTATCTTGGAAAAATAATAATGTAGGTTTTCTCCTAAATTCTGAACTTTTCAGTTTCAGTTTTGAATTCAAGTAAGTAGTAAATTATAATGTCTTCTTGACAAATTTTAGTTTAGCAATTTGTGATTGCCTTGCTTTGTGTTCTGGGCATATTTTTATTGGAGGTTATGCTTCATGATCAGAGTATATATTTAGGCTCTTCTTTGTGTTCTGAATACTTACCATTGTAAATTTATACTTCCTAGTATTAATTTTTGCAGTGTAGTTTGTTATTTAATTAATATTATTCATGAACTACTTAGAATTAAGAGTATTTATAAAGCCTTGCACCCTGCCACTTTGAACAAAGCTTGCAATACCAATCCTCTATCTTTTACACACATCTTATAATATAAACCTTTCAGCTTTAGCTTATCCATATAGATGCTTTGCGACCCCCTATACAATAGTATTCCTTCCTGCTATAAATTGTCAATTATCATGCTTTAGCAAAGATAATCATAGTCAACACCATGGATCAGATCCAGATCTGATCTTACATTTACAGATCTGGATTTGGATTTAATTCCAAAAAATAAGATCCAATCAGATTAACATCCAAAATAAAAGATCTGATAGATTCTAGAGAGGGAAGGAAAAAAGAAAAAAAGAAAGAGTGAAAAGTGTGATAAAAAATTTTTTTAATTCAATTCATAAGAATTAATTTGAATATTTGATAACTATTTATAAATATTAAAATATATTTTGAGCATTCTGCATCCATAAGAATCATAAAAATAGTTGGATTAGGTTTGGATTGATCCAAATACAATAAAAATATGATTCAGATTTTAAACAAAGGATGTTTATGATGAATCTGGGTTAAGAATTAAAAATCTCAGATTGGATCCTATCCAAAGACTTGCTGTAAAATAATTTAAATTGATTAGTTTATATCCATTCTGAACTGACTTTGTGAAATACTATGATGATGTAACTGTACTGTAAAAAATATGATGAAATCTTGCAATTTGAAAAATCAGAGACTTTAACAATCAATTGAAAAAGATACACAAACAATGTATTCCTAACAAAATACTTTTTTAAAAAAATTAAAATAATGACTCAGAAAAAAGTTTATTAAAAAAACTTCAAACATAATATAGACAGAAACCTTCAAACCAAAAATGTGTAATATATCAACCTCATCAAAAGCAATTACATTATTCACAACATCACTAAGATTTGTGATACACATTAAAAATTTTACAACTAAAAAAATTATCAATTGAATCACTATTATCCTTACATTATAACCAAATGGTAAGAGCAATATTCAGAGCATATAATTGGAATTTCCAGAGTAATAACAATAATATCAAGTCAATGAAAATTTAATATATTCAATAATTATAATTTAAATAATAGTATTTATAATAACAGATTTAATATACAATGACTTAATTTATTGAAGGTTTAATAATAACAGAAGTAGTAATATGGATTTTGAATTAATCAACATTATTCACCATCATCAATAATAATTTATTATCCTTCAGAAAATATTATTAAAATAATAATAGCTGGCATTCTCCTTATCTGCTATATCATTAAATAAAACATCAATATCAATTACACAATAAAAACATTGTAAACATCAACTGCAACAATAACAACAATATAATAACATGCATCATTGCAATCAAATGAGTTTTAAAATATTATCTTTATCAAAGGGACTTTTATTGCAAACTTTCTTTTCAAAACAAGGAAACTTATTATAAAACTGAGAATACCTTAACCCAATAATATTATGTAAAGAATCAAGCAAATATCATTATTATTTTATTATTAACAACTCAATATTTTTATTATTGTCATGACTTCTAATTAAATTACAAATTATTAGTTAAGTTGAACTTAAAAAAAAATAAAAAAATATTGCAAAATACATGACATAAATATATATAAGACTGACTGAAGGTTTACATTGATTTGAACCATCATAATGTTGGTGCATTATAAGTATTTTGAAAAATTAAATTTACTATGACTAGAAATAAGTTATATTTGAGTTATTTAATACAAGTAAATGGATAAAAATTTTTTGTACATATTTTTGAATATGATATTGGGTACCTTACAATGAGTACATTATATCTTTCATATCATTAGCCAGAAGGTGCCTGGTGAGACAGGCTTTTTTGATTATCATAGTTGAAAATACAATATAACTTAGACTTTCTAATCTCTTTTTTTGAGGAGTCACTTGAGATTATTTATATTGGAGTTTTGTGGCATGCAATAAGTTGGATTCACCTCATTGCTATTAATATATGTATGCTTTGTTTAAATTTACATTTTTGGATATATATATAATATTTTACTGAATATTAGTTTCTAAGACTGAATTTGTTTTGAAACCAATAGCCCATTATTGTATTCACTAAGGAAATAGTATTGATCATCTCAAAATTAATCTTTTATAGAATTTCTTTCAAATTACTCAAGCAAATGAATAAAGAGGATGTATTATTGTTAGTTAATCTTTGAAGTTATAGAATTTTTTGAAAAATCTTGAGGCAATATAAATGTTTTTGAAGTATTTCCTATATTTTATATTATTGAAAGTGAGAATTGATTTGTTTGCAAGAGTTTTATCAAAAAAATGAATCAAATATTTTTATTTTTAGAAATATTTCTATATTTTTTAATGGCATGAATAGTTGAATAAATTAAATATATTTCTTAATTATTAGATTTATTGAAAGTATTTCTTTACTGTTTATTTATTTTATCAAAAAATAAATTAATTATTTTCTGTATTGTAAGAGTCTTGATATGTATGCAAGATTTGAATAAAAGAAAACCAAAAATAAAATTTTCTAGCTTTATGCCTTTTGATGATTAATATAATAATGACTCTATTACATTTGAAAAAATATAACCCAGATTATACTTGCATGCAAAATTATTTTGGAGTTCCAAAAAATGCAATTTCGGGGAAAAAAGTCAAAATAGCATTTCATAGAAGACAAAATTATTTTACTTAAAACCCGAAATTTTATGACCACCCAGATTTATTCTTTGATTAAAGTTACATATAACTGGGTACTTTTTTTACTTCCATATATAGAATAGATTCCGCATAAATCTCAAAAGTCAAAATACCTCAAAAATCCAAAATCAATTTTGGGAATATGTATAACCCTGATATAATAAGTGACTTTAATGAATTATTCTATGTTAGTTATGTATATTCAGAAAAAATAAGATGTGGGGTATCAACTAAAATTTTGTAAATGGGAAATATGATGGCCATCCTTCAAGGATATATGAAGTATGATCACAATTAATAATTTGATAATAATATAATTCTGAACAAATCATGCAGATAAATTTCAACTTTTCAAATATTTTGAATTAATATATACTTTTTACAGATTTTTCAAATGAGCATAATCCAGTTTAAAATCATAAACATACATGTCTAGTGATTGATCTCAAGATAATTATTAATTTATATTATTTTTAATTTACTGATCTCATCATCAAGTTATATAGAGATTAATTTTTTAAAAAAATCTTCAATAATCAGGGAACTATAGTTAGACTTTTAAAAAAGATATTTTTAATCTGATTTAATTAAAAAATGATAATTGAATAAAAAATTACTTGATTTATCAATCAATGATTTTCATAAAAGCAATTAATTCATTATATTTAAGAATTCTATTTATGATTCAATGAAATACTTACAGTTTTTGCAAAATTCATTGACTTAATTATGTCTTTATCATTTTTTTGTTGTTATTCCAAATCCAACTATTTATAACTTTGAATATGGAAAAATAAACATAAAGGCAAAGCTCTGGATTATTGTATTTCATTTCAAAATATGCCATGTAAAAAATCAGTTGTGTACTTTACTTTAAAATTCTTGTTTACAACTGAAAAAAAATGCATAATTAGTTAATTTTTTTGTGGGGAAGTATCCAATTTGCAAGGAGACTGTATCTTAATATGGTTTTTAAAATGAGATGATATATTGAACATCTCTTTTTTCAGATTTTTTTAGGCATCTGAAATCTTTTTACTATAAAATATAGAAACTTTATTTTATAATAAATAAAATCTTTTGATTCCTTGGCTTCTTTTGCCATTCAATTGACCCCTGATGAATACAAGGTGCATTAGGAAGCTTAACATTTATAGTTTTTCATCAACTCTTCAATTCTATCCTTGGAAGCTCATTGAACGGATCACTATATTCTAACAATTAGCTAGAAACATGAAGAGTGTCAATAACCTACTGATATAAGGAAGAAGAGTTGTAAATCTATTTCACAATATCCAATTATATTTCTATAAAGGATGGTGACATTCTTTAAAGATATAGGGTATCAGTGCATGAAATGATTACTAGTGATATCTGATACTGTTGCTTGGTATATACGTGTTGCCCAAATCCCAAATTATTTGGGATTTGGGACGCCAAAATCCCAAATTACTAGTATTTGGGATTTGGGATTTGGGATTTCGGCAAAAAATACTAATTATAATTTGGGATTTGGGATTTGGGATTTTGGCATTTGGGATTTCGGCATTTGAATTTTGAATTTGGGTGGCAGGTATAGCTTGGTATATTTGATAAGTAAACAATTGAGTTAAATAATATTGAAAGATAGTTATTCAAATTAGAATAAAATATCTTGCATTGTAGGCTCATTGCTATGCAACCTTTGAGATTTTCTATTAAAAATATCTTTAGGTCTGATTCAAAATAACAATATGAATAATCTTGAGAATAGATGTCTCAGTAATATCAGTAAGAAATATCTGTAGAATATTCATTTTTATAATTTTAAATAATGTTTTGAAATGGTTTTTTATTATTTTAATTTTGTCTATAATTGTAAAATTTTCTTCTCATTGCTATAATTGGATAATTCAATGAAAGTTGCTTGAGATTTGATCATATTGCATAATAAAAATCTACATAGATATACAATTAATTCATAATTTCTAGATTCATGAAACTAATGAATATTTACTGTAATTTGAAAATTATGTTTCTATTCAGATGATAATGCTCAGTATCAATCAAATCTTCTGAACATTATATGTGGATACTATGGCAATTATGACATTAAATTTACAATAACCAAAAAAAGAAGTATATTTTGATTATTTGATTGTAATTGAAAACATATCATTATTATTTAAATTTTCAAATAATCTTCAATATATCTATATCTAATTTTTTTGCAATTTATTCTATATATTATTATAAATAAGATTTTTAAGTTATTCTTATACTGTTCCAAATTATCATTCAATTGCCAATATGAATATGTAGATATGTCCATGTCATGCAATCTAGTAGGCTATGCAGTATTTTATTGTTACTCATGATAAAAGATTGAATCATGGGCAATGATGTTTAAGTAGTTTTATACTATTTTTTGTGGCATTATTGGTGTCAGTAGTTTGATGTTAATTATTATTGTTAATGTGATAAAAGTGACATTCTTTTTAAATTAAAAGTAATTTTATAGTGTGAAAGAATTTAATTGCTAAATATGTTCTTAAAATCTATAAAATAGATTTTGCAATATTTCAAATAGTTATTTTCACTTGTTCACTAAAAATTTTAAACACTTTTTAATTGTACTATAAAGTAAAATATAATTAGTTCTCAAAGCAACTATTGTACTATAAAGTAAAATATAATTAGCTCTCAAAGCAACTTTATAAATTATTAAAATATCAATGTTAGATTATGAGGCATTTTCTAATGATAAATATTTATTTATTGAGTTGTAATTGTATATTGACTTAATGTCCAGAATGTAATAGAATAAATTACTGAATATAATGGTGTAAAAGATATTTTACTTTATTAGATTATTTAGTATCATATGACTCCATTGGAATTAAAAAAAAAAAAAAAGATTATTTAGTAAAATTTTATAAAAAGTAAATTAAATATAAATTTATTTTATATGATAAAAAAGTATATCTTAATATGCTATTTTATTTTATCATTGATTTTATTTTACTATTAACATTAAACTATTACTGGCATATTGTTACATTATTTTTTTACTCGTATTTGCTTAAGCAGATGTGAAAATCAAAAATATACCTAAGCTGACAACTTCAAAGCTCCATGAGCAAATCACATTGCTTTATTAAAATATAAATTTTATCTTGGTATGCTTATTATTGAATTTTCTGGCCCTATGTACTTCTTGATATGTAGGTAAGGTATTGATTACTTATAATTCATGTATAATAGTGATTGTTTTAATCTACAATATCAATAGCACTTGATAAAATCTATGATGATAAATTGAATCTAAAACTTAACTATTGTTCAGTCAACAAGAGAATTTTCAAACACTGGAGAATAATTTTTAAAATAAATTCTTTTAAGTCAATTTTCTTTTCATCATAATTTTTTTTATTACCTGTTAAACTATCACTATGTTTTACATCATGATGATTATATAGTTAAAATTTTGAACTTCATTTAAATTAAATAGATTGAAACAAATGATAAAATTTAATCTATCATTGTTGATAAAGAATTTGCTATTTAACAAAAAGGAGTCATTTTATGACTTCTTCTGACTAAAACATACGAAATTTAAAATTATTTGAAATGTCTTTCATTATATTCTATCAACTTAGTAAAATAAAATATGATCTTATTTTTCCTTAATAAAATAAGAATTAAGTAAATAATATCATTAATTGTATGTATTCTTATAATAGGATGATATCAATTTTTTTGATTATTTATCTAAATTATAAATTAATTAATTGAAAGTCATTTCAGAGTTAATGAAGCTTCAATAAAAATTAATTTTTGATAAAACATATTGAAGTATTACAAATTATGAAAATGTTGATATATGTACAATATAGTTTCATTGCATTCTAGATTTTTCTTTGGTTCAAATTTTTAATAATATAACAAACACATTTTCCATTATACTGTACAGGATAAAGCATAATTTTTGTGAGAGACTCTCTCTCTAAGGGTTTTGTACATTTGTAGTGTTTCAAAATTATTAAAGGATCCAATATCTTTCAACATACATATATCAATTAATATGTAATGTCAATTTAAACAGATTAAATATTCAAGACCTGGTTTTGTATCTAATTTTTTTCTGTAATATTTGCTAATTTTAATGTCCAGAACCAAAAATAGTTTGAAAACTGTTAAAATTTATTTATACTACTGCTAACTTTTATTTAATTCTTAGATTAAAATAATAATTATTATAAATTATGTTTGCTTTATTTAATTGATTCAATTAAAATGATAATTTTCTGCTTGAAAAACTCTATAAATGTTATGTTTTAAAATTTGAATTAATGAATATATTAATAATGTAAACTTTATTTATTTAATATTTTCTCTTAATTTGATCTAAGAATTAAATGGATTTTCAAAACTAAATTCATTATTATGTACCTGCTGTGTATATGCATATGTTTTCAGTTTTTTTATTGCTAATTATTTAAGTTGACTTTCATTTTCTTAGATCTTTTCTCTCCTCTCCTAATATTATAATTGGTTTTCATAAAAATAAGCTCTATAACTGAACTATGCCATCTTGCAATTTTGTTCTCTAAATTTTCTGCTTCTTTTCCAACTGTTTTCTAGTTTAAATAAATTTGCACATATGAGATGGTGACAAATACTATATATAATAATAATAAAACTGGGAATTAATATGGTTATTTATCTGAAAATGTAAAAAAATAATAATAATTATAAAATGGGTTATTTACTATATTTTACTTCAGAAAAGTTTCTTTTTTTTTTATTTCTCTAGTTTACATTTGCAGCTTTTTGATGTAATTATTAATTAATTATTGAAAAAATATAATATGCCATGCCTACCTTTAAAATTTATTTTTGATTAATACTATGGTAATGTTAATGGCCATGATGTCAAATTTTGCTCATAAGAATTGTCTGACTTATTATTATATGAAAATTCTGAATGCATGAATTATTATAATATCATTATACTTGTAGTGGTAAATTTCAACTTTTTCTAAAACATTAAAAACTATTTGAATTAATAAAAATATGAAATATGTGTTATCTTGTCCTTCTAAAAAGCATGTCATGCCCACCTAGCAATTATAATATTATTAGACTATTGAATTATTTCGAATCATCAATCTTTTTAATCATAGGTAAGGATTATAGTAATGTGAAGAGAAATTCTAAGTGATAATATTTTTAATAATAATTTACAGTGAACTTTTAATTGTCATTGTCAGTATCATTGAAATCATAATAATAATCATAATTATTACCATATTAATAATTATATTCATTATAATAATTAATTATTATTTTTCTATAATTATTTTTATTAATCTTATATTATTGCTATTATTACAAAGAGGTTCTAAATAATATCTTTATCAAAAGAATTTTGTTGAGTACTGTACTTTCTTTTTGATGAACTATAAAACTGGGGATAAAAACTTTGCCTAATAATAATCTACAAGAATCTAACAAACTAACATTATCGATTTTATTATTATATTATTTACTATTAAATTGCAGATTGTCATGAAAAAGTTTAAAAAAAAAAAATCAAAAAATTATGTTAAAATGGAACATTGTTTTGCACATTACAAATTTAATGACATGTTATTGTAAATTACAAGATATCATATCTTTAATATGCATAATGTGTGTGAATATAGCAATTACATATAATTACAAATATGATTTTCGTAAGAATTTTAGATATGTTATTTACTTATAATATATGTATGATGTGTCATATTAACTAATATTAATTTTATTTAATATTGAATCAATAAAAAAATTATTTATAAAAATATATAAAATAAAAATATCAATTTATAAAAAAGAAAAAATATTCATAAAGTAAATGTTTTTAAAAAAATTTTACTTCAATATATTCAATTAATTTTTCACTATTTATATTAAGGAGGGTTGTTTGCATCAATTTTACCATTTTTACAAATTCAACCACAAAATTTTCTTTCAAATTCTTTGTCTTCGACCCATATATCATCAAATAACTAGAACTCAATCCTGTTCTCTAAGTTCAAATTGGTACCTCCATTTTTCATATTCATAAAATGTATCCAGAATCTTCTCTTATATGTAATTTTTGATTCAAAGTCATGTCATGTTATCAGATAAAACAATTTTGTGGGATTTGGTTTTGTGTACTCACACATAAATATGTAAATAAGACCATCCCAGGATTGTGTTTTGTCTATGTTCAATACATATTTGTACAGATTAATATTCATCTTTAAATTAAATAAATTTTTAAAACTAAATTCAAATAATGTTTATGTATTTTCTCAAATATATGATTCCTGGTTGTTTATCAATTTTCTATTTATGATTTTAAGAAATTTGATTTGGCTTTCATTTTTCACTCTAGTTTCTACTAATATTATGATAGGATATTAAAATAAGTTCTATACATTGGTCCCTATTTTTTAATTTTTTTTGAAAGCAAAATTGCTCTGTCATCTTTGATTCTTACCCTCTATGTTTATCATTTCATTTAAATTTATTAAGATTAGAATCCTTCATTCATTCAATTTCATTACATTGAGAGAATTGATTTATTATTTATTATTATTTATCACCATGATTATATGTGTCTTAATTTAAATTTATATTATTAATGTGTTAAAAACAACTGAACCAAAGGTTATGAACATCAATTTTAGCCTGATTGTATTCTCCCTTTCACTCATTTTTATTATCAAAATACTGGTCCATTTAATCAATGAATACAGTAATTTTATCAGAGAATATGAGAAACTATTTTATATTATTATTTTGGAAAAATTTCTTTCTCTAATGTTTGATACTTTTTGATGATAAATTAGCAATTAGTTAATTAATGACTATTTATTGGAAAAAATATAGCTGTACCTTAATATGATGAATATGAATATCTATATTTTTACTAGTATGGACTATATTATTACTATATTCCATTTTTCTATTGTTTTCATTTCGCCTGTGAAGTTAGAGGGGAGATCTGATGATAAAAAAAAATTTTCAAAAATTAATGAAGCTGCAAAATTTATATAAACTAATATTATTATCAAGCTCTAAATCATGATTAATAATTAATCTATTCATAAAGAATTGTCATCAAATAAAACTCATTGCCTAAATCCAAAATTTTTTGTATGAAATATTCAGACAATTCTTATAAGCATATATTTACCATTACAACAACCATATCTTTTAAAATTAACTAAATAATCAGGCAATATAATCAAACTTTCTGCATATTTTCTGTCTTCTAAAATTCATGTCTCAATAGAAAATATTGGATTGCTCTTCTTGTTGCATTCCATGGTTAATATCCACAAGTTATTGGTTTAAGTCTCACTGTCACTGGAGTTTTTGTTGATTAATTTTGTTGAGATTGATTTCTTTGTTGAAATGATGACTTCTTGGACTTGAAATTAAGCAGTGAGAAATATTATTTGTATAAAATTAATCAGTCATCTTATGACTCTAAAATCATACTCACTGGCAATATGAAACTTTGAATACCAATCATATCCACTTTTTATACTTTATATATCTGAAAAACTGTATTTGATATTTTGAATTGATGAGACATTTTAATGTTTTAATGTTATTTTAAATGGAGCATCAAGATAATGATTTTGATATACCTTCAATTTATTAAAATTTATTAACAATTTTTGATTTTCTTTTACATTTATATTTATTATTGATGATGTTGCCATTCTTTGTTATTTCAATGAACAATTTGTAATTTCTTTATGAAAATATTATTAAAATTCATTGATTATTTACCTCTCAAATTTTCACTAAAAACATAATCAATTTTAATAATAAAGTATAGATAGTATTTCAGTTTCCAGTATCATCACAAAGAAAGTAGTTTCATATAGCCCTTTACTTAATGTATAAAAATATGGTTAAAACTTCAAATTAATGTTTCTTACAAAATTTATTAAAATATAAAATATAAAATATCCAGGATGAAGCCATGGCCCAATAATCTCTGGATCATATTCATACTGTCAAATAAATAACAATGATTAATTTTTTTTGTTTATCTAATGTTCAATAATTGAAGTATATTAGATACCATTACCATTCCATTTTATAAAAATATTTCTTTATTTGGTTAAGTATGACTGTGTTTTTTGCTTCTTCTTTTTGTTTTTTATTAAATTTATTTTTATTTATTATTAATTTATTATTATTTCTTGTAAAAAGTATTATTGTGATACTAAACTGTATGACATGATTTTACAAAAATAACTATAAAATTCATATTTCTAGTTGTTTTTGATCAAAGTGGTTAGGGTCACAGGCATAAATCCTTTTTTGGGTTATGTATATAGTGTTAACTGTGATCTGCCTTTACTAAAGCATGATAACAGACAACTAATAACAGGGAAACTATTGTATAAAAGAACACAAAGCAGTTATGTGAACATTTAATTTTTTAAAAAAATAATATTTTTTGAATGTGTTAAAGTTGAAAGGTTTATACTATTAGACATAAACAATTATAAAAGGTAAAGGACATGTTAATGTGGGTTTTTATTGAAAGGTGCAAGGTAGGTGTGAAGTTTTACAAATATAACTTATCACTAAAAGTTATAATACTAAATAATAAAACTAACTAAAACAAAATAACAGCTAGAAAACTAATAACTAAATAACTATCCTTATTGATGAAGAAGGAAAAATTCACTAAGGGTTATTTAATAAAATTACTAAGCAAAGTAAATGTTATCACAAGGAAGAGTATCCAGGACACAAAGCAGAGCTTAACAAATTACCTAAGAATAATGATTACAAATTTTATATGACAAGATCACAAAGCAGGGCAATTACAAAGAGGTTTTCACTAAAAAGTCACAAAGGGTCTAAATTATTATTTGTCACAAAGACTTTATGCATGAATTACTACAATTATTGAGTTATATGAACTAAAGTTATGAACTGTAATCAATTGAACTAAACTACTGAAAAGTTGAGAAAAATCCAGCCTTTATATGCATTGTTTTCTTTGCTACAGTTATTGCTTATATTCTTTCTTGCACCTTTGCTAAAATCTTTGCTACTATCATATAGAAAATTCCAGCAGATCCATCAAAATAATAAATTATGATTTGTACAATATAATTAAATTAATATGCTAATAGCTATAAAACTGTAATGATGAACATATATAAGAATAATAATAAATAAAAAATAAGAAATAAAGCTAACAATAATAAATTGATTGTACACACTATTTGAATGCAAAAAAATCACCATGCTGATTGGTAATTTCTATATTGTAGATCAGCTAAAATTGGAATTCCTATATTATATATTTTATCCTATATTATAAATCAGCTAAAATCAGAAATCCTATTTGCACCAGTATTCTTTTATGTTTGACCTGTGAAAGTCACATGGATTTCAATTCTTATATTTGTTCTGACTATTCATTTCTTGGATTTTTAAAATTTAAATGATGCTCTGAAATGGTTTCTTTATTATATTAATTTTATTCTATAATAGTCAAATTTTTTTCTTTTTTCTATGATTGAGATAATTTAATATGGGTTATATCATTTTGTATTGCACCCATATAATAATAAAGCGGCAATAATTAATTTAATTTTCAAATAATATGTATACTTTTCTTTTATATAAAATAATGAAATAAAATTTACAATAAATTTTGCTTTTATTGTGTTAAATTTAGTAATCACATCATGATTTTATGTGTCATTACCATCATCAAATAATCCGCATATGATGGGTCAGGAATTGATTAATACTGAGAATGCTAAAACTATTATCATCTAAATGAGGGAATATGCCAGAAGACTAATCTCTAATCTCTTCAGCTCTCTTATACTATGTGGAATGAATAGAAATTTGTTCCATACTCATGCAATCCAATAGACTACATAGTTGAATTGTTGTTTGACATAATAAAGTACACTTTTTAAATTAGAAGTATTTATGGTTTATCTGAATAGTGCTGCAATCTTATTACACAATATATATCTCATTTATATACTTATATCTCATTTTGTTATTGTTGGTCTGTTAAATTCTATTGACAACCAAAAACAATAAGTGAAATGTAAAATTCAAATAAAGCAGATAATACCTTTGAGAAAAATCTGTAGGAAAATTGAAGGCTTCCTCAGCAAAAATTTTATCAATTAATCAAATACATTTATAAGAAGTTTAGAATAATGTGCTTCTTTAATAAACTATAACAAACTCTGATGATGGCCTAAGATATAGTGCTTTAAATTGATATTTACTTAAGGTTGTAATTTATCTACAGTATAGTCACATTGTTTTTCTTTATTTATTATTTCCTAAGCTGTGATTGCATTATAAATTAAAAAATAATTGTTTCTCAAAGCAACTTAAAACTATATTGTGTTTTTTCATTTTTTCATAATTTATTAAACATATCTATGTTTGAATTATGAGGCTCTGTTGTATCAAATATTGGATTTTTTTATTTTAGTCTCATTTTGATAATATTAATCTGTAAGCAAATGATAAATATTATTTATCAAGGAGAATCTGATTTATAAGATAAATTTAACTGTATATTAACTTTAATATTCAGAATAAATTATTGAATATAAAGATAAAATCTATTTTCCTTAATTGATTATATAGGATAATATTAAAAAAAAAAGTAATTTAAATATAAATTTATTTTATATGGCTGAAAAAATATATTTTAATATATTATTTTACTTATTATTTCACTGATTTTATTTTCTATTATATTATTATTAAATTATTATTTGTATATAATTGTTATTGTTTTAAAATTTGTTTTAGTGGAAATGAAATTTATATATATAACTTTTTCAACTTCCATGGTCTAGCCCACATACTTAATATAGATATAAATTCTTTTTGGTATGCCTACATATTTACTAATTGAAGTGTCTGACTCTATTTACTTCTTGATACATAATTATAACCTACATATTAACTAATTGAAGTGTCTGACTCTATTTACTTCTTGATGCATAAGTATGAATATGAAAAACTAATTAATCATGAAAAAATGTACAAATAATATATTGATTGCTTGCTAATTAATAAATAACAAGTATTTGAGATTACAGTTATTTTAATTACAATATCAATGACAATATTCTTTTGCTCAATAAAATCTATGAATCTAAAATTTAACTGTCAGCATATTTTCTGTTCTGTAAAACAAAGAATTTAATTTTGAGACACTAGCGAATAATTTTAAATCAATTCTTTAATATAAATTCTTTGTCTTTGTCTTTGTTTTCTTTATTTAGATTCCTTTATAATGTGCTAAAAAGTTTTTCAGAAACAACCTAAACTACCATTATGATGGTTATAATTGACATTTCACAATGAAAATAAAAAAATTTTGAAAAGAGACAAAGTTTTAATCTATCATTGCTAAAGAAATCAATGAACTGTATTTTCTAAACTGAGTTTTTTGTAATAAAATAAATTATTTCATTGATATTTTAGAATATTTTTCATTACACTCTATAGACTTAATAGACTATTATAAAATCTTATTTTTCTTCAATAAAATATGAATTTTGTAAATGAATATCATTAGTTGTGTATAGAGATTAGGTTTTTTCCTTTCATATAACTATTTTTACCATTAGATGATATCAATATTTCTATTTAATTATCTGTTTAAATATTTGTTTATATTTAATTATCTTAATGAGTAAATTTGGTAAAAGCATTTTTTAAATTAAATTTTGTCCTTTTTATTTTATTTGTCTTAGGTTAAAAATAATATATAATAAAAATTTCCTTTTAATTGAATCATATATTTAATTGATACCTGCTTAGTTCTTGAGTATAGATAAAATTTCAAGATAGAAGTTACTTCAGTTTTAGAAAGCATGGGTTACAAGTATGCCGGCATAATATTAATATTTTTTGCTTAAAAATTCTATAAAATACACCTATGTTTTCAAATTTGAATGAATATGCAAACTGACATATTAGATACAGAAAACTTTTTTATAGTTTTATTTTTAGCAACAATTTGTGTTGACCTATACTTATATCTCAATTAACAGTTTTTTTGATATATTCAAATCAAATTATACCTATATCCAATTGAATTTTTTAGACATATTACATTAGTTGATTTAATTTAATTAATTAATTTTATTTATTTAATTTATTAAATTAATATAATTTATTTAATTATCAAATTCATATAATTTTTTTAATTTATCTAATTTGTTAAATATTTATTTATTTAATTATTTAATTTATTTAATTATTTATTATTATTTTAATTACCCAGATTTTTTTAATAATAATTAAATAAAAAATTGAAGCCAGTCACTTCTTGATTACTTTTTAAATGCAATTTTAAAGTGCTACAAGTGTTAATGATGATGTAACTGTACGTAAGAAAATATGTAGAGGTAGCACGATATCAAAAATTATGTAAAGTTAATTTAATTCATACAAATTATATCTTAACTCCCAACTAAATTAACCGAATTTATACAAAAATACTTTTTTTTTGTATTTAAAAATATCGTCAAGTGATAACTCATACTTTAAACAATCTTTAACACTAAGTATACTATATTTAATGTAAATAATGATTCATCATTATATTAATATAAACTTAACTAATTTGTTTATTAATTAATAAATATTTTTTTATACTAATTAAAATAAAGAGTTACTTTTTCATAAAAGAAAAAAAAAAAATGAAAATTTCACTTCTTTATTCGGTCTAAACCTGAACCACTTGTTATTCAAATAATTTAATATTTTGAGAAAATTCTGCTGCCGTTTATTATCAACAAAGAAAGAATAATAAAAAATGTTATATGATTTCGTGCAAATTAGGTTCTAAAGATTTGAACATTCAAGCAATGGTTGCTCTTTTGATCGAATTACAAGTTATATATAATTGCATACATTATGTAATTTACATTATGCAGTGAAATGCTCAAGCACTATACTCACTATACTACAGATTACTGTGAGCTAAAAAATGATTATATTCCAGGTTTTAAATATTGAAATGTATTCTTCTTATTTTAACATTATTATAGGAGGTGGTAGAAGACTAATCTGGGTTTCGGGTTAAGGGATAAAAAATAATAATTCTATCACTAGTATCATGACAGGCAACCTCTGAAGATTTGATTTTCTAAGGAATAATGCTATGAGAGACAAGCAAATTGATGAGAAGATTGGTTTTCTACGTTAAAAGTAACCGAAAGATGAGTAAAAAATCTTAGCATTTGCTCCTTTTATTGTCTAATAAATTATCACTATATACTTAATTTTATTAATGTTATCCTATAAATATATATTTAGATAATAAATATTTAACTAGAAATGGATTTATGAATATCAAAAAAATTTAACAAAGACGCTATCGGTTTCGGAAGTTCAAAATGTCCAACTAAATGCAGATAAGGTATCAAATATAATTGAATGGATGCCTTACCTCATGAGGGATTAAAGAAGTAGCAAAACGCAGTTTTGGTACTATTTATTATGCTAAGTGAGTTGATGGATTTAATAGATGGTAGACATTGAAAATTAAGTATGGAAAGAGATGCCAACGTTAAGTGGTATTAAAGTAATATTTTGAATTAGAATTAACATTTATTTAAACCATACAATGTGCCAATTGTATGTGTTATTTAGATGGTACCACACACAAGAACAATGAAAACATATTCATCATCTCAATTTACGGAATTACAAAGATCCAGAAACTAAAAGTATATTATGGTTTTGAATATATAAAAGGAAATTATCTCAGTTAAAAGCCTTATCATTACGTTTTACATATTTTCATGAATTAATTCATCAGGATTTTTACCTGAAAATATTTTACTAGAAGACTTTAATAGCTATTATTTATATATTGCAGAATGTACATAAGGTAGATACAATATAAAATTAATAATTAATTACTTTTTCACTTTTTTGAACTTTTTGACAATTTGAGGCCAAATTTATTAAAAGAATCAAAAAAAAAAATAATAAACTTTTTTTTCTTGAATTAGAAAAAAAAAAAATAAGAAATAAAAAATAAATTTATTATTATTTTCTCCACTTACAAGAGAGATTACTTAATTTAACTTGATCTAGAATTTTCACCTGTAATTTTTCAATTTAATAATTATTTATATTTAATTAATAATTAATTTACAACATATTCTTACTTATGTACGAACGAAATATTAATAATTTTAAGTATTATTTTATTATTTTTATTATTGTTTTTGTTAACCATTTAAAACAATTTGATTTTTATAAACACTGTGAATAATTTTTTTTTTTTTTTACTCTTATCCTTGTTTTCCGTTAAACTAAATATCCTCCTAGAAATTTCATTCTTTTTTGCATCATTTCATTTATTTATGCATTTTCTCTTATTTAAGATCTATATTTGAATTTATTTGGATTTATTTTATTTTAACCCATGCATTCTAATTCACTTTTTTTTTTTTATTATTTACTTTTGATACTTTCTATTTGCTCGTTAATTTCTTTGAATTTTATTTTAAGAACTTGAAAAAATAGAAGTTATGTTAAGTAATCCATGTCAAGAATTATTGGAATATCAAACACCATTTCGAAATACTAGATTTATGGCAAAACATTGAAATTCGAAAAGAAAAAGCAAATATATTCGACGTAGTTTTTTTTTATTACATTTTTTTTCGATATCTCGATTCTTCGAATTTTTAATTATTCAAAAAAAAATTTTTTTTTTTTAATTGTTTATGTCAATATCGTTGGTAAAATTATGTATATATGAATCAAAATCTTTTTTTCTTTTTTAATGATTCGCTATTCGACTAATTATAATAATGTAGACTATTTAAGAAATTTTTAATTTTTTATTCATAGCAATTCTACAGCTATTTAATAATAAGCTTTTATTCATAAATTTTTCTTATGATCAAATAAAATAACAATATAACTATAAAAATAACACAATAAGTTTTTTTAACCTTAATCTTTTATGTACAAAGTATCTGTGCACGTGCGATTTTTTTTGTTTGTACAGATACTATGCATTAATTAGTTTGTTATTATGTTCATGATAAACTTATTAGAGAAACTTTTTAATTTTTAAATTTTATTAAATAAATTTTCTCAATAACAATAAAAAGAATGATATCTAATATAATTTTTAATTAATTATCGCAACGTGATATCGATATAATAAAAATAAGTAATTTTACGTTTTTTCTTCAAAAAAAGTAAAAAAAAATGTCGTCGTAATGGCTAAATATCATAAATTAACCTAAATGAAAGAATAAAAAAAATTGTCGTGACCACGGGCTTGTTAGTCATGGATTCATCCTTAATTGGAGTGACCCAAATTTTAACGGAATAAAGAAAATAACCAATACCTAGTTTACGATGTGATGGTCAGAGAACCCGAAAATTTACTAGGCAATCGAATTGAAAAAAAAAAAAAAATCGATAAAACGTGGGTTCCGGAACGAACTTGAAACCTAGTACACAATGTAATAATTTACAAAATAAATAAATAAATATGTATATATAAATTGCTTCAAAGAACAAATCAAAACATTGGAAATGATAATCACCATCAATACTCGACATAACTCATTGACGACTACAAGTTACCCGACCATAGCGCGATACGAAAGCTAGTATTTAAAGAATTTATTAAAAGCGAGAGACAAACAATGATTAGAAAATCACAATACTTTCATATTTAACTAATTAACTTATTGATGATGATGATTAAAAAGTTTTTACTTACAGTCTTTTAAAATTTTAAATAATTAAAAAATATAGACAATATTAGAATCATAAATTTTCAGTTGACGTTTAAAGTTAATATTTAACATTCATAATTAATAATCATTATAATTACCATATTATAATTACCATGAGTGCGAAATTAATACGAATACGAACAATTCCGGAACCCACGTTCATGCAACGAAAAGGAGTTTTTTTTTTTTGATTTTTTCTGATTTTCTGATTTTTTTTTTTTGATTTTTCTTTGAAATTCAAAATCTCTCAACAATCATTATTAATTTTTTGGGAGTCTATTTATATTTAAAAAATTTTTATAATCTGCCATAGATTTTAATTTTGAAATTACTGGGCTAACCATTTTAGATTTAAAGTTTTGATTTAAAAAAAAAAACATAAAGTTTAAAAATTTATGATAACGATGCTACATAATGTATTAATACATTACACAGATTAAACCTGAAAATATAACCTTAAAATTCATAGTTGGTTGAGATTTGTGAACTTGGGACTTGTTATCACATATATATTATATTGAAAAAAAATTTAGTAACTACTTCTTTATCATTCCAAGGGAAGATTCATTGTTTGAATTTCGACTGAAGCCAATCATTCTCATCCATTATTCTCTTTCAAGAATTTTTTTTATAAAGAAAAATGCGGTGTAATGCTTAAAAATAGTAGAACAAACAATTAATCTATGATTGGAACAATTCAAGATTTCTCTCCTTTTTTTTTTTGCATAATGGTAAAGAAAAAGAACTCTCTCCCTTTTTTTTTTTCATTTACATAATGGATAAAGAAATAGAGAAAAAAAAGTTTTACCTTGAAAAATTTTTAAATCGTTGATTTGGTAATAAATTTCTTATTTGGGATTAACAAGGATTCAAGTATTCTCTTTTACTTTTTTTTTTCGCGTAAATGTGACTGATTTTAGTTAAATTTTATCTCAAAATAAAAAAAAAAATAGTACAAAAAATGAGTTAATATATTCATTTATGAATAAAAAATAAATAAATAATAAATAAAAAAATATTTAAATAATTTCAAATGACGTAATTTTTTTCTATCATTTATCAAACAGGTTTGAAGTTTGAATAAATAATAAACAATAATCGTGCATATTCAGCAGGATATTTGTCATCTTATTACCATGAATCTTCAAAATTAACTGTTAAGGAAGAATATATATAGATATATAGATATATATCAACTATCAAATGGAAAAAATTTAATCTTATTGCAATAATAACGATCATTATTTTATTTGTTTTATTTACTTTATGTAGTTTCAAACTTTAAATTTTTTTTTCGCGATGATAAAATGATAAATCGATAAGTTTCGGACGCTTTTGTTCAAAGCCACATATTTTGCATTTGTAACATTGTATGGCTATTGAAAATTTTTTAAGATTGTTCTCATTTCATTGTTACTAACTATGTTGTTTATATTTTTTAAGTTTCGCGTGAAAATAAATAATTTAATACTGCTTTTCGATGAAAGATTTCTAATAAATTAAAAAGTCTACATTAATGATTTATCCGAAATTATGACTATTGCTAACGGTTTTTGCCTATTGTTGCGTATGTTGCCTGTTATTGGCTGTTAACTTTTCATATTATTATTTATATATATTATTTATTGTACTTTTCTTTCCTAAATTTGATCGATAAAATAAAAATCAGTAAATAATTTATGTAATTACGTAATTATTGACAAAAAATATTATCAATAAGATTTAGAAATATAATTATGCGCCAAAAGTAAATCTATAAAGAATTGTTTTTCGAATTGAATATATTTTTATCATAATTATTTTATTATTCTAAATTTATTAATATTTTTATTATAATTATTTTGTTATTTAAATTTATTAATATTTTTATTTTATTTTTTAACGCCGAGGGAACTTATTGATGCTATTTTAATTTACCTTTTTTTTTATTCATGTGTACAGATAAATAATATTCGGTCTGTGTCACGCGTATAAAAGACCTATCAATTGTGAATGAGGATTATCATCGCAATAAAAAATGGGAGGTAACGAAACCAAAAATGGGATGCATTAGATGGATTAATCGCCTATTATTGATATCGGTGATGTCAATAAGATTACAATATTCCACCTATTTCTGTTTTCATTTAAATATTGTTTTAATAATGTTTTATGTATAAATGAATTGAAATTCATATAATATTACTAAATTGAGCCTTAATTAAAAAATTATTTTTTTAAGGGATTTACAAAATTCAATGCCAACCAGAATTTATTTAAAAATCAGTGATGAAAGCAAATATTATTTCATATAATGTTTATATAAAATATAATCTACATTATCTCCCAAGTTTTTATTTATTAATTAATTTTATGAAAATCACTATATTGGATTTAATCCGAATAATTTTTTCATATACACTCACTTAGCAAATGTATCCGACCACTTAAAAATTATCAATCATAAAGTAAATTTTTATCCGTTAATAACTTGTGATCTAACATTTAGAAATGAGTAACTTTTTTTATTTAATTTCCCTGGTTTTGGGCTTTCATATGATATCTTAATTACTAATTTTGGATGCATAGTCGTCAAGAAATTTTGATTCAAATAACATCAACAAAAAATCGAATTTTGAAACTATAAAATTAACAATTATCTATCTCAATGGATATTATATGAATTTGTAACTAATAATATATGATACAACTTTAATTAGTAGAGTGGTTGTTTTCTAGTGCAAATTTTTACTTTACTTAGACACATCTAAAACGATCAAAATTTACCGTTGATCATTTTACTATTTAAAAAAAATTATAAATAGTTCGCTCATATAAAAGTTCATTTGTAACGAAGAAAAACTTAAATATAATACTAAGCGAACTCAAAGAAAACATCATTGCGCATTTACTATAAGAGTTTCAGGTCTGTATCATTATAATTGATAGAATCATTAAAGAAAACGGTTTTAAGCTTAAACGTTAATTATTCAATCAATTCTAACGATATAGGTCTAAATGTTTAATAGTAGATGCACAATAATGTTCTCTTTGAGTTCACTTAGTATTACATTTAACATTTTCTTCATGAAAAATGAACTCTTATATGAGCGAACAATTTAAAATTTTCTCTAAACTGTAAAATGATTGACAATGATATTATTTCAAGATCGTTATGAATTTTTTGCTAATATGTTTCATAATTTCAAACGTCAATTATAGCACAATGAATTAATTAATCTATATAAAATTTTTGTTTAAAAAAATCAAATTATTTAGAGCTATCACATGATATCTTGTTTGCTAAAATTGGATTCTTAATTGTGCAGTAATTTTGAATTAAATAAAATTATTTAAAAATATCAAATCAAATTAATGATCGTAATGTTAATAAATTTCAATGAATATTTATTGTAAATGCTAACTATTTTATGAAAACTTGTAGCTAAAAATATATTCTACAACTTTAATTATAAGCATATCTGATATTTTCTATTAAAAATTTTGACTTTACTTAGACATAACTTTAAATATTTATATCATAATATTATAAAAAATTTTTATTTAATAAATTTAATTATTTTATTACAAATTTTATTTTGATTGATTAATATTTTGTTGCATTTCCATCACTGCTTGAACCTTCCAGGCATGCTATCTACCAAATTTTCTAAAACTACAGGTCCAATTTTATACCATTATTCTTCTAAAACAGCCATTAATTCAGTAAGATTTTTTGGATGTGGATCATGTTTACGAACTTTCCTTTCCAAAAAATCTCATAAATGCTTAATTGGATTGAGATCTGGAGACTGTGCTGGCCAAGGGATATTTTTTACTGAATTATTTTGCATCCATTTCTTAACTAT